TCTGTTCTTAACGCTTACACGTTTTAGTTGGTGGCATTTGAGCTGTAGCTTAAGTTGTCAAACTGAAATCATGTCGATTTTACACTGCACAGTTTATCAATCATTGCCCGGAAAGCCAGATTTATGGTGAGAATTTGCACTCTTCTACATAAGTAAGTGCCTTGTTGTTATGCTTATCTGCAATTTATCTTGGTCATACTGTACAAAAGTAACGTTCGTAAATGTCAAAAAGATAAGAGTTTTACGTTTCATTTACCCGAGTTCCCTCTGTTTCCCAGGATTCGACTCTTCTTTTTGTCACTTCTAGTGTTTTTCAACACTGAACTTGCTGTGCAACCGTTTTTTTTCCTAGTCTATTGCGTAAGCCAATCGGATTAACATCCAGGTCATAAAGATACTTGTCGTGATGAAGAGATATAAGAAACTGACTATTTTCAAATACTTGTGTCTTCACATGTTGGTTCGTATAAGATACTTGCGTCAACCTTAACTGACGAAGCACGTCGCCTCTTCGTTGTATACTGTCGGAATGTGTGCTAACTTCGTCAAATGTTTGGCGGCATCCAGTTCAGGATTTGGTTGTTACTGCGGCCACCACACGGATAGCCATATGACCCTTGCACCTACAGAGGGCCCATGGATGTCTTGGGCTTTATCACCAACACACCACATATCCAGTGTAAACCCGAAGGAATAAGACCGAGAGGCATGTGGATGGGAGAAAGGTTTCATCAACGGAGCCTGCACACACACCTTCTACATGCACAGTAGCAGCATTCCTGTCTGTCTATGTAGGGGATGATGAATACCAGATGTACACAACCTGGTGGTTGGACCGTTGGCCGCTCCAAAATGGATGGAACCATTTTTTAAGCCTAGCAAGGTTAGGAGGACTTTTTCCACTTGTAAATCCACTTTCCCGAATCGCATTTATATCGTGCTGCATGGCTGAAAGCGTGCGCTTTAAAGCTAAATATTCGATCCTCCCGTATGCACAAGGTCTATTCTTGACTCTACTTGACGTTCCGATACGCAATCCATTGAATACCGAGTGAACTGTTTATGTCTGCAGAATCTCAAAAGAAAAATTGGGGGCATTTAACTCAGGGTAGGGTAGAGTTAATCAGAATCTTTTATTAAAACAAGAACGCAAACGGGAACACTGGACACGGGATGCAAATTAGCAACGATCACCATAACCAGCGAGAAACGCTGTAATAAAACTTCCACCCATCTTTATTGTTCCTTGAGCTTCTCTCATGGTTTGTCCAATTATGCAAAATATAGACTCCGTAGCCCTACCTTCTATAGTCCAAAACGTTAGCAACTCTTTTCTCATGTTCAAAAACCTAATCTATAGTTAATTTTAGCCACGGAGCAGCCGGCAACTCAGAAAATTATTGGTGGAGGCTGTAATATGCTTGAGCTTTTCTGGTATCCAACATGGTCCCCCTTAAAGTATATTTTGTTTTGGCAATCCATACATTTGGATTTAACAGAGTTCCTCTCAAACAATAGGCGAACACTTGCTAAAGCTAATCTTCACATAGAGGTAAGACAAAAAAGTAAACGCATCCAGCCCAATCTTCCTGGGAATGATCACAATATAGCAAATATATGATTGGAAGCAATCGCCTACAACCACAACGCAACCAACATGATTATTAGTTTTCCTGGCTATCACAAGACCAACTAGAAATGCTGCAATCGAATTGCGGTCTCTGGACTGGGATAATTAGTTCCTCACCCTTGCACCTCCAGATGCACAGACTTGTTATACAAAAATGTAACCACATGTCCAGATATCTACTGCCCGTTGCGTCACAGGCGTACTACCCACGAAACGAGTCAGAACACTATGCCGTCGCATAAAACACCAAAGATGAAGAAGCCACGATAAGGCTTAAATAGGCTAATAATTGTAGTCTATTAATTCAGCAAAATCAAATAATACCATTCATAGAAACAGATCATTCCTCGCATTTTCTCAGAAAGAGACTAATATATTAGACTCCTGAAATACACCAAGGGAAATGACTAGACTAGTACACGAACAACTTCAAGTATGATATTCCGCCTTCCATTTTACCGCCAGACAACAAAGTTTGTGCAAAACTGGCTCAGAGACGTGAGATTTGCAATAAACACTTCCCACCGTTTTTCGCAGAGCCGTGCATAATACCGCTGGTAAACATCTCCGCTAAAACTGCAGATTGAATCTGTACTGTTGAACTTGAGGAATCGGACAAACGAACTCTGATAAACTCAATGCGTACCTGCTTTTATCCTGGTCCGGATGGAAAGGCATCTGCTGGTCTCAGATTTGAAGGCGCAGACGTCTCTATACGGCTAAAATCTATTTGTTATTTATCCATGAATTCTAGAATAATTCTAGATTTCTATGGAAATTTGCGCTGGCTTCACAACGAAATAAAAGTGACCCACGACAATTAATGACGAGCTCTCGGCCCATCAGCCATATCTCCATTCTGTGTAGAACAATAGAAAATGTAATAAAAGCCAAAATTTTAGAATTTCTATCGTCCAGGAAATTGATCAACACTGCCCAGCACGAATTTCTGATAACGCTGTCATGTATTACCTGTGCAGTCCGATTTCTAAAATTCCTTACCCGTTCTAATGACCTTGGTAAACACCTGATTATCATATTTTATGATATGCGTAGCGCATTCGATCGGATACCACCTAGAAATCTTCTATCAAAAACACATTTATAAAGTATATCTGGTAAATTACACCCTTGGATAGCATCGTATTTTACTGGCCGGAATCAGGCCGTTGAAATACTAAGAAATACTTTCACGGGTAGACAATTCACAAGTGACATGATCCAAGGAAGTATTCGAGGGCCTCCTCTGTTTTATGTATATTATTGCCATCTTCGACAACACAAAACAGGTCAAACCATATGTTTTCGCAGATGCTATTAAAACTGTCTATCAGCTCGATGTGGATAATTTACTTAACACACTAGCTTACGTACAAGCGGATTTGCACAAGCTAACAACTTGATGCAGCAAGTGGAAAATACTGCTCGCATAAGAGAAGTGCGGCTGCACGTATTATCGGTGCAGTATAGAAATAAATTTTTTGATGCTAGATAGTAAAGCCCTCTGCAGATATCACACAATGCACCATCTTGCGATACATCAATCGACCTCTTTCAACTTTTCCCAACAGATACAGTCTATTTTTGCAGAAGCTCGTAAACTATGAGGGCTAATCCCAAAATCTATTATTTGGAATAAATGCACAGTTACCTGTATAAAACTCATATTAGTGCCCTACTCGAGTGTTGCTCATTATTATACTCAAGCATAACAAGACGTGATAGAGCGTGAATAGAAAAGGTACTGCGCATGTTTACGAAGCGTCTAATGTTAACCTTTGGTGGTCAAACCTTCTATGACCGTTGCTGGTTACGGAGACTAAAACTTAACCTGAACTTCATGTTTGATATAATCCAAGACCGCGTCTTTGCCTCAGACATTGTGATTGTATTTCAACCTTTCCTCAAATACTATATAACGAAAACGGTAGCAGGTTACAAATCAAAAATGCACGGACTAGGTTAAGATTAAATATATTTAATCACAGTGCAGTTAAGTGGAACAAAATATCGCGTAAGCTGAGGACGTGTGACTTAAGGGTATTTTTCGTATTACAGTTAACAGTGAATTGACAATGGTCTAAGTGAAGGATATGCTCAACATAGACGTGAGTAAAGTAACGCAGTGGGAGGAAGGGTCGAGCGCCAAATAACAAATGACAACATTATCCGATTCGAATGCAAGTCTCTCTACCACATTAGTATTTATAAAACCAACTTGTTTGCACTTCTAAATAACTGAATTCAGTAATATTTCCAACGGACATTCCAATTGTCCCTGGTTGGATGCTTGCTTTATCTACCTTATGAGTTTAAATGCGTTCAAAAAGCGTCGTGTTGATGTGCAGTGTTTTCAGGTTGGCAACAAGCAATATCTATCTACCCATTCTTATCATCCGACCACGTCAATAAAAGTGGTTCATAGTTACGGCATGAAGTCTGCGATTATACACTAACAGTGCATGTCATCGTATTGAATTTAAAGTGACTTTTACGGTTATCTGCCGTAATGCAATACAAAAATTCTGAGGTTGGAGCCTAGAAACAAAATGGTTCGGACATTCCTGTAGTACAACTGCTAACTGACACTTACAAGCTTAATTGTTGGTTTAGACACTCGTTCCGAAGCCATTAAATCAGATGCCGTCGTTTACTTTATTTGTCCCACTACCTTTCTGACTGCATCCAAAACTATGCCTTTTTCCGTAGGTGATCTTTTTGCTACATTGCTCTTATTGCTGTTTTGTTGTAAATGTATTATACTTGATTGCGTTATATAGTCGAATCCCAGATTCATCGTCTCTTGGCAAGTAACTAGCAATGCACCAACGCAATAACCACTCAACTATTATGTCACTGAGTGGCGATGCCCAACTAAGAAAAACAGACGTAGCAGGACATAGCATCAACTTCAGGCAGACATGCGTTCACCTGTGCGTGCAAATTACTTACTGGAACTTTGGGATGTTTTATAACTTATCGAAACAACTGACAATCTGTCTCTCTTCCGCACATGTGACCAAGATCAAAACTATTAGGTTGACAACTTTGCCGTTCAGTGTACTTCCATCTTGTCTAATGGCAAGATGATTAACACCACCAGGACGGAAAACACGCGGTCATTCTAACTGCGGATCGGATGTATATCGATGCACCGGTTTTATCATAGACATAACGAAACTGTGGGTTTATTCCTCTTTAGTTTTTAGGAAACAGTGCTACCCACCAACAGAGTACCAATCACAGCTTAATCTGTTGAGTTCATCGGTGCCAGGATAAATTGCATTCGCTGGCAGACGGCGACGGTGATTGGTTGTATGACAGCGAAAAACGTAAGGGCCACTGGTGAATAAATACGCCTTTTGTGCTGCAGATGTCTAGACCAAAACTTCACATGTGCACCCTGATTTGATGGCTCCTCTGACAAAAGCCCAAGTTGATAATTTGCTCGATGAGTTGAGGCCGCACGTGAACACCGACCAGGGCAAGGTGTCCCTTGGTATACAAGCATATAGAAAGTGAGTGTGACTTTACAAATACGCTTTTCACACTCTTGTTTCCGCATTACTAAAATTTTCGCTTTTTGCCAGGTTCTTCACTGCCTATCCACAGCATATTAATCTTTTCTCTCGGCTACAAGGCCTAGACGTAACTAATGTCTTCCAATCTGAAGGAATCAAGCATTACGCAAGAGCCTTAATTGATGGTATTGTGAAGATTGTGAACTCAGCAGCTGAGGATGCGCAGTTTAAAAATGCAGTAGAAGCTAATGCAGTACTCCACGCGACAAGAAATGTAACCAAGAATCAATTCATGGTGGGTTTATGTTACAATAATTGACAACAAACATTATATGTCATACGAGTAGAGCGCAGAACCATTCTTCATCGAGGGTTTCAAGTCTGTTCTGACTAAACAAGAAAACAAAGATGCCATGGAGAAGCTAATGAAAATCGTTTTTTCTACGTCTCCCAACTACCTCCCGTGAATGAAAAGTTGGCGAATGCATTGGTAGAAATTGTTGTACTTATACTTTCATCATTAAAACCATAAATACCAAGCATCCACTAGTGTACCTCTAATTGGAGGGTCAAGTTTGGACTACACGTTGTGTGATTGGATTGCGACGCGCAATCGTAATGTAAGCGACCGTGGTTCACATTGAAATGAACCTTAGTCACTGTGATCACTGGGACCGTATTCAAATAGATGGAAATTGGGTGTTGTTTACCCGAAAACACTGCACAACCACGACGCGTTTCGATGTAATTTCATCTCATCAGGTGGAGACAGCAGGCCTCGATCCCGCGATCATTAGAATAGTAGCCGAAACCACTACCCCTTTGGCTACCGGGTCACGGTGGGCCAAGCTTTTGACACAACGGTAAATGACTAATTGGTGGGTCAAGTTTTGACTACACGTTGTGTGATTGGATTGCGACGCGCAACCTCAATGTAATGGACTATGATGAGATGAAATTACTTTGAAACGCGTCGTGGTTGCGCAGTATTTTCGTGTGGGCAACACCCAATTTCCATCTATAGTTGACTTCTGGTTTAAATTAGGATGAATTTCTTGATCAATGTTAGATAGTTGGTAGTTGAGTAGCAACCGATAGATATCCGTTCAGGTTGTTAAGGTACTTCAAGTAACTGATTGATTTGTGAAAATAATTCTTTAGCGTCTACCGATCAAGTTTGTCCTGGTAGCAAAATTTACTTTCTGAACTGCGCTTATCGGTCTCCTTTGGTTCTTTCCCTGAGTAGCGAGCAAGATTATTTCTCTATCGCATTTAACTTCATTAAAATTAGCTCAATCATGAGGGTAGATAGAAACTCCGAACCAGTCCACTTGGTTCGGATGCGGTCTCAGTGCTTGGAATTGATCATGTTGAATTGAAAGTCGTTCGAAGCCCCAAGTCTGGTAGCGTGTCAAAAAGTAGACACACGTTGTGTACTCCGAAAACCTGACTATCAAATACTATCCTTTTGTTCTCCATAAATGATCTCCAAATTGGTCTCGTAGTATTCATGTGGCATGCACCACGTTAGTTTTCATCCTTCACGCATCGGTCAATCATCTGAACATTTCCAATAGCATCACCTTGTAATCCAGCACGACTTTGTCCAGAATTTGTGTATGATTAGTTGAAACGAGACGCAGCCATAATGGATAGAGTAAACGCCTTAGGCCGTGGTGTAGGCAGGTTAGTCCCTATCCGGGCAGCTGTGAGCTATTGGCCTAACAAATTGGACAGATGCTCCACCAGGCAACAGACCAACCATCCTGCTCTTCCTGTACAAAATCATCTGCACGACATTCTTGCCACTGAGCGTAACTCAATTTAACTTTATACAAACATTTTGCTGTCCTATGGGCACGGATGCCACAATATATGAAAGCCTAAATACTGATGCCCCGTGGAATTAACACCATTACAATCAGAAAAATGAAAATTGTTTAACAGCTGTAAGCTACCGTATGATGGTACTCCATGAGGATGGGGAATTCCCTCGCCATGTAAGAATGAAAGTGGCCAATAAGAGTGCTTCAGGACGGGTGATATTCCACGCTCCTGAATGAACTGAGCCAACTTCTCATGTATGATAAGATCATGACGTCAAAATTTTGCGAAGTTTATCCGTTAGACAACTAGATGTTGGTAAGGAAGAGTGGTAACGGAGGTAAGTAACCCATCTTAGAAAAGGAGTGTGTTATTGCTGAAGGTTGACTACTTCTGGGTGCATAAATCTCTTCCTGACTTTACTTGAACAATTCGGCTTGTGCGCGTCACGATTTGGGGAAAAGCTGAGTTAAGACTTATCGTGTTCTGCTAAAAGTTTTAAAGACACGTGCGTCCAAGTATAGATCTAATGAAAATTTAACGACTTAGGTTCAGCAGCGTTGAGCTGAAAATACCTGAAATAGCAACCTATCTCGCTATTTTAAGTCTTTTGTTGTTTTCCAATATTCCACAAAACATGACGCCAAGTTGTCTACACTTCAGCCACGTAGTTTCTGCTGCCGCCTGTGTGTAGCCTTTACCAATGTTTGCAGTCTTAAAATCGAGCGATGAACACTGTCCTATCGTTTCAACGGAGCGCCGTGGTAATGGGACTCGCTCGAGAAATCGAGTTTCGCAGTTACAGGTTCAACCGCCGTGATACGTTAGATATTTCCTGCTGTGGCACATTGGGTACAACCGATCTTCTCTGGGTGGGATTCTAGTGTGCTCCTGTCGTACAGATGATGTCACGTGTTAGCAGCTGCGCTGCTAGAATAACTGGGAGCACAGACACCTGCTTATGATGATAGTTTATCACATTCTCCTGGGCAATGTTTGGATTAACTGCCGCATCTTCGAAACCAAGTGATTCGTCCACATTTTCTACTCAAATGTAATCTCAACTGTCCGCAAGTACGCTGTCCTGAAGCCTGATTCAGGCACGTAGGTTGTTAAGTCGAGGCAAATTTCGCGGATTTGGTGCGGGAAAATCATTCCGTGTAACGCATATACCAGCCGACAGATGTAACACTGCTCTCAACTCTTCTACACCTAAACATGAAATTAATACGCAACCTTTTCCGGTGGGCACCACCCAATTTTCTATTGTCAGCTGCGGCTCTAGTGGTCAAAATGATCAAGGTTCACTTCGAGGAAAATCTCAGTCCACATTGGGATTACGCATCGCAATCCAAGTACACAACAATTACTTCAAAATGACACCCCAGAAGCATTTCTATGACATTAGATCCCGGACCACAGGGCAACAAACAATCACTCACTTTTTGTTAACACCATGAATCCGCCTTTGACGCGTTTCCATCTGCCGGAGCCAGTTTACAACTACTGGAAAGCTAATTTCAATAGTCCAACAGGAGACGCTAGTCAAGTGGATTGATCTCTGGTAGAAGCTGCATCTGAAGAAGACGGTTGGACGGTTGTGAAAATTGGAGTGATAGCAGTGTTCGCAGAATTTGCAACTGCATTCAAAAACGGTCGGACCAATCAAGGCACGTAGGTTTGACAAAGAATATGTTAAACTGGCTCGGCGATGACGCAGGCGTTAGGACAATTGAAGAAGTGTGTCAGATACTAACATACTAAAATGACACTAAATATACTGGAGCTGACGGGCTTCTCTGACTGGTTCACTGGTCCTTAGCAGCAATGATCTCATTTACCCTGAATGACCTGCTCATCAGATCACAGCCTAAAGGTTCATTGCTAAGCGGCTGAAAGTACGAATAGCTGAAGTCGATTCCGAAAGTCTGGGACCTCGGCAAATTGGACCAAAATAGACTAGTTTGGTTGATAACTCTTGTGGCCAAAATTGCAGAGAACATCGTATAAGCGACAGAGTTAATCAAAAGATCTACTAACAACCTCACAACATGCTTTCAGTCCAAGTACTCCTTTTATATTATTATAAATGGGCATATATCTCATCAAGTGAGAACCTGCCTTCATTTCGCCACAAAGCATAAATGTGTACAAATAGTAATCTTCTCTTGCATGTTCCATATGAATTTGCAAGTGTATATTTCTATGTTTCTCCTAACGTATATTTCGCACATGCTTGTGTTTTACGCGACGTGAGGAGGTACTGATTTGCTTTCAGGATGTTTTAAACAATATGTTCTACTTATTTTGCGTAAATTACGATATTTCCCCCATGAAGCGTTACCTCGGACTTCGTTAATGGGAGCAAGGAGTTATTCCCCCCCCCCTAATCGTGTCCACGACAAAGTAGCTTCACAGATTAGATCGAAATGATCTCACACGCCCATACGACCCGATTGTGACTAGGGAAAGAATGCACACAGCTGCCTTTCTGATTACAATGAAATTCGACTGCACCTTTGTGCTGCGTAGTGTGGTAACCAAGGTAAAGTCCTTGTTAATAAGGCCCGGAGTGCAACCGTGCTGTAATGTTAATGTGAGTGGTTGGCAAATTGCGTTACCAAGAATCACATTGTACAGCGGTATAAATGTCTTGGCCTTCACAGCTGAAGCGGATCGAGCTAAAGTTGTTGGCACAGCTCTCCATAGTTCTACGTAATATTTTCCCTTTTAATTGCTTAGTAAATGATAAGGTATAAGTTCCATAGGCGTTCTATATGATTTTCTCATGTTGCCACAGACTTTTCCAAAGCATTCAACAGCATAGGTCAACGCATCATCCAAAATATTCATGCATACGGAGTTAGAAACCCCATCCTTGAATGGATCTGAAACTTCCACTTACAGCGGCGCCTTTAAGATCGAGTTTGAGGTTCAGTTTTGGATCCAATTGGTGTGGACTGCGGTGTTCCACATGGGTCAGTGTTGGGTCCGCGGTTATTCTTGTTCTTTATGAACGACAGTGCGGGTGCAGTCAAGTCAAATTTCCTGCTTCTTGCCGATGATATCAAGATAGAGCGGGCAATCGATTGCCAGAAGAGCACGATATGTTGTAACGAGACTTAGACTGTACATTTTATTGGTCAGTAGTAAAACTACTTCCGTTTAAGACGGACAATCGCATCAAGCCCACGTACGCATTTAAGCTTAGAAATAACTATCTAAAAACCGCCTCACAAGTAAGAGACATTGCGGTGGTGAACCGAGACGACATCAGCTGTTCGGCGCAGCCAATGAAGGCGTCCAAAACCGCGAATCAACACGTTGCTATGTTACGAAGGACATTCGGGAGGTTTGATCCCTCCATCTTCCGCAAAATGCTCAATGCATCCGTGAGGCTCCAATAAGAGTACGCGATCCAACATTATAAACACTGACTAAAACTCGACCTGGTTGCACTGGAGACCCTACAGCGAGAGGCAACACAATTGTGATGGGTTTGTTCCTCCTACAATACTGTAGGAGAATGGAGGACCTGGGAGTGTACAGAGGAAGATTTCGCCATCTACCAATTGACCTCATCTTGGCGTTTCAGAATTTGAGAAACCCCAGAGACACTTGACGTTACCTCTTGAAATTTAGCTGAAAACACAGAATTGTGGGGTCAAAGATTGAAGATTTCCAACCAATAAAGTCGGTTGCCGTGCCACCGGATTT